ACCCAGCCACCGAGCACAGGACTCCAGGCCCCAGCTTGTCAGGAAGCTGGAGCCCCACCCTCAGCTCAGTGAGGGACTGTTCCCCTCCACAGGCCCCGGACTCCCCAGGTAGAACCAATAGGCCTATTCTGTGGAGGAGGAAAAGGCTCCCGTCAGAGGTTCTGCAGGCTGAGACTGCAATCCACAACTCCTGCTCCCCAGACAAACTGGGAAGTCCCTCTGAACAACACAACTGACCGCTGGCTCTCTCTGGGCAGGCCTCTCCGTGCCCCAAGCCGGGTTGCCAGGGCCTCCTGCCCTTGGTTCTGAGGAGGGCATTGCAGGCCCACGGGAGGTGACTTCTCCAGTTGGCACTGGAGTTGCCTGCTTCCCAGGAAGTGGGGAACAGGAGGTGGGGCAGGGGTGGTGGTGTTTGCACGGCCGCTGGTGGGAGGCGGGGGAAGATCTGCCATGGCCAGCCTCAGAATAACGGATATTCCACAAGGATTGACTGAAAACATTTACCCACACCCATGTGAGTGCCAGATGCCAGGGAAAACAAGATGAGTGAGACGCGTCCCTGCTCTCTGGAAGGGCACTGTGTAATTGGAGAAAAAACTATTAGAAGGCCAATTAGGATACAGTAGGATAAATGATAAATAAATGAATGCGTAACAGGCTGTGGGTAAACAGGGCTGCTCACAATGGGTCTTCCTGGGAAGGTGAGGATCGCTTCGCAGAGGAAGGAACATTGGAGCTGAGCTTTGGGGCAGGGCAGATTTTTAAAACATTTTGGTCACATAGAAAAAGGAGGGTGAGAGGTATAGGATGTTTGAGGTAGAAGGAACAGCACAGATGAAACCTCAGCACAGGGCATGGCAAAGCTATCCCAATCACGGTGAAACAGAACCGAAAGAATGTCAGTTTCTGCAAGAGTTTGGGTTATAAACCATTAGGCCAGGCGCGGTAGCTTATGACTGTAATCCCAGCACTTCGGAAGGATAAGGAGGGAGGAACACTTGAGCCCAGGAGTTCCAGACCAACCTGGGCAACATTGTGAGACCCTGTCACTACAAAAAATACAAAAACTAGCCGTGCATGAGTAAGCACTCCCATAGTCCCAGACACTTGAGAGGCTGAGGCAGGAGGGTCACTTGAGCCTGGAAAGTTGAGGCTACACTGAGCTGAGATCACACCACTGCATTCCAGCTGGGGTGACAGAGTGAGAGCCTATCTCAAAAATAATTAATTATTTAAATTTAAATTATAACTAAAAACTGTTAGACCTCTCAAGGCTTAGAGGGAACGGCAACCACACCAGGAAAGGGAGGCTGGTGGTCACTGTAAGTGCCAGACTTGTGTGAGGAACATTCCAGACACGGTTTGATTCTGGGGGTGATCTTATCATTCCGTTTACAGTTGAGGAAAGTGGGAGTCAGAAAGATGAGGCGACGCACCCAAGTCACACAGCCATCAGGTGGCACAGCTGTTCTCAGCCCTGGGCCTTGTCAACACCTCAGACATCTCTGAAGGAAGCTTTCCAATGAACAAAGGTGGTTTCTCACTCTGCCAGGAGGAACCTAACTCAGGTTGGGGTGGAGGACACAGACATGCTCTTCTGCAATTTAGATTTTCTTTTTTTGAGATGTAGTGTCACACTGTTGCCCAGGCTGGGTTGCAGTGGCATGATCCTGGCTCACTGCAACCTCTGCCTACCACGCCCAGCTAAGTTTGTATTTTTAGTACAGATGGGGTTTCACTATGTTGTCCAGGCTGGCCTCGAACTACTGACCTTGTGATCCGCTGGGATTACAGGTGTGAGCCCCCGCACCCGGCCTAAAAAAAATTTTTAAATAGGCTGAGCAGTGGCTGATACCTGTAATCTCAGCACTTTGGGAGGCTGAGGTGGGAGGATCGCTTGAGCTCAGGAGTTCAAGACCAGCCTGGGCAACACAGTGAGACCCCATCTTTTTTTGTTTGTTTCAGTAGAGATGAGGTCTCTGTTGCCCAGGCTGGCCTCCAACTCCTGGGCTCAGGTGATCCTCCCACTTAGGATTCCCTAAGTGCTGGGATTACAGGCGTGAGTCACTGCAGTGGGCTCCAAAATCTCTTTGAACACTTCTCAGAGTGTAGTTTTTTTTTTTTTTTTTTTGTGAAAACGGAGTTCACAATAGGCTCTATGCCACTGGGGTATTAAGTCAAGGTGAAGGGCGTTTGGGGGCACAGAGGACCCTGTGGCTGGAGTCTTGGAAAGCAACGCCACCTCCCATGGATCATCCCTTCTAGCACCACAGGCTCACTGTGTCTGGTGGCCCCACCAGGGTCTGACTCATGGTGGAGGGGTCTCATGGGCTCTCCAACTCCTGCCTCCCCACCCTAGACCAACATAGGCCCCTGGGACTAGAGCAGAGGGCAACAGGGTCCCTGGAGGCTGAGGCCCAGGTCACCCACCCCAAAGGACTTGCTTGGTCCTTGGAAGGCAGATCCTGTTCCGGAAGTGAGATGGAGTGAACACAAAAAGAGCAAACAGCTCTCAGAAAGCCTCACTACATTTCCACTGCCATCTACCACGCAGGGCTGGCCGTGGGCAGGGCTCCGCAGCTGGGGTGCCCAGGTCCCAGACACTGCAGACGGAGTTGGGAGGCAGGGGCCAAGAAGAGTTGCCTTTTTGGAGAACCTAGGTAGGGAATAGAGATTCCCGAAGCTTGAAAATAAACTGAAACAGGCCGGGCGCGGTGGCTCACGCTTGTAATCTCAGCACTTTGGGAGGCCGAGGCGGTTGGATCACGAGGTCAAGAGATCGAGACCATCCTGTTCAACATGGTGAAACCCCATCTCTACTAAAAAAAAAAAAATACAAAAAATCAGCTGGGCATGGTGGTGCCTGCCTGTAATCCCAGCTACTCGGGAGGCTGAGGCAGGAGAATTGCTTGAACCCAGGAGGCGGAGGTTGAGGTGAGCCAAGATCGTGCCATTGCACTCCAGCCTGGGTAACAAGAGCAAAACTCCGTCTCAAAAAAAAAAAAAAGAAAGAAACTGAAACAAATCTGCTAGATCCACAACTCATCTTTGGGTTTTTTTTTTTTTTTTTTTTTTTTTTACATCTTTGGCTTCTTAAGGTCACAAGCCGCCTCAGACTATTTTCACTCCACCTTCCTCTAGCTCCTAGCTGGTTTTTCATATATGCTAATGAACGGCCCCTGCTCCTAGCTGGTTTTTCATTTATGCTAATGAACGGCCCCTCCCTGCACACTGACTTCAGCACTAGTTGTCTGGTTATGAAAACTAGTCCCAAGCCAGAGTCACGTACGCCCCTCACTCAGGTCTGACCGGCCGCTTGCCTTTCTAGCGTGGGCACCCAACTGCTTGAACCCTACAAGCGTCTGCCTCCATGACATGGGGGCGTCTGAATCTTGGGGTGGGAGGTGGAGCTAGGGGAGGGAGCCCAGGATCGAGGAACAGATCGGCAGCAGCACCGCGCCCCTCTTCACAATATTGAAGAGGCTGAGACAGATCAGTCTCGGCCAGCCCAGACCAGCCCGTGAGAGCAAGGCAGGAAGGGATACAGGGTTCTAGAGAACCAGGGCCTCTCTGCCAGCTCCGGCCGCTAAGCAAACATTCCCTCTGGGAGTCAGAGAAGGCGGTGTGCGAGGGGAGGAACCAGACTGAGGTTTATCGCTCCGGCAACTCCGGGTGATTCATAGAGTTTAGACTCCCGGTTGTCATAGACCGAGGCAGGCACGCAAACAAGCAGCCCGGGAGATAGCCTCCCCTTTCCCTGCCCCCCGCTTCTCCACCTTGCTGCCCCCTAGCCCGTGACCAGCTGCCTCCCCTCCCCCTCTCGGGCGATGGGAGTTGAGCAAACACTCCGGGCCGCCCGCCCCGCCTGAGCGCCGCTGGCGGTGCCCCAGGCGACTCGGCGTCACGAGAATCCGCACCCCGAGACCCGGCGCCCTGCCCTCCCTCCGCGTCCCAGGGCCCCGGCCAGGCCCAACAACCTCTCCCTCCTCCGTGCGCCTCGGCCCCTGCGGGCCTCCAGCGCGGGCTAACTAGGCCTCGCTCCGGGCCCCCGGGACGCCGCCCCCTACCTCCCGCGAGGCCCGCAGCCCCGGGGGAAGGCGGCCGGAAAACCTCCTGTTTACCGGGCTGGAGAGGTCCCAGCCGGGATTCGCTTCCTTGTTTCTGCGGTCACCCTTCGGCAGATTCCTGGAGCCGGAGGGGAAAGGGTGGCAACCCACAGATCCACCCCCGGACAGGGAGTGGGGGTGGGGCTGGAGGGAACCCGACCTCCTGGAAAGGTCCCCGGGCCACAGGAGGGGACGGACTCGCAGTCACAGCCAACGTGTCCCAAGGCGCAGAGACCGCGGGGGCCGAACTAAACACTGTACCTCGGGGAAGAAAACCGTGAAAACTAATTAGGACAAGTCAGAACAGGGAATGGGGACGCGGGGAGGGGAGCGCGCGCTCCGAGTTGGGCAGAACCTGGAACCGTCGCAGGAAACCCGCGACCTTTGCCCACAGTCCGCAGTGGCTCTGGATTTGGGCCACGCGTGAGAGGAGCGCTTGGTGACTGGAGTCCCAGAGAAGGACGGCACGCGCAAAAGACAAACCTCGGTGTCCGGTGTGTCCACGTGTGCAAGCTGGGGAGGGGAGGGGGCGCAGAAGGCGTGACAAACACGGACTCTGTCTTGAGTGTGCGCCTCGCTCCCGCCCGCTCCCAGCGAACTGTGCCCGAAGTGTGTCTCACGGGAGGGCCAGGACGAAGGTGACAAAGGCTTAGTGTCCGCCACCGAGAGACGCGCTAAGGTAGCCCCGCTCGTGTCGGTACGCGCGCCAGCTGGAAGACGCGGTGGGGGGCGCGCAGGGCTGCACCCCCACACCGCTTGCCCCAGCGGAGGCCGAGCCCAGAAAGTAAGTGCGCGTGAGTGTGCGCGCGCCCGTGCGGGGGCGTGGCAGCAAACAGCAACAACCCACTTGCCTGCAGGACCAGAAACTCCAATCTTCCTCCCCAGCCGGAAAGTGCGAGTCGGCCCAGTCTGGAGGTGAGTCGGGGCGGGGAGGGCTGGGCAGGCTTTGTTCCTGTGTAAACGGAGAGCACATACCTGGAGCGCTGCTGGCGCCCGATAAGCGCCCGGAACCGAGGTGATGTAACGGTGATGTCGGCGCCAGTCCACTCTCACCGACGTCCAGGTGCCTTGCCTGGGGACAGGCCCGCGCGAGAGCGAGCGACCCTGCGCGCCCGGCTCTGCCCTGGTTCCGGGGAGAGGCAGGCCCTGCGCCCCGGCCCGGGCCCCGCCACCCCAGCCAGGACCCCGCCTGGCTCCGCGCCCCGCGCCGAATCCCACCCACCCCAGCCCGCGGAGTTGGCCCCAAACGCCGCGCCGGAACAGGGCCAGCGGCGCGTCCCAGGTAAGGGCTGCTGCCTTCCCGCTCCGCCCTCCTCTCCGCCGCCCGGAAGAGTCGGATCGGGCCGGCGGGGAGTGGGCGAGGGCAGAGGCGGGGGCTGGACATCCTGCGGGCGGGGGACGCCGCGCCAACTCCGCTCGGTCCCTGAAAGTTTTCTAACTCGAGCTGACTGGGGGTTGGGGAGTCGGGCGCTGCGGCTTGGACTGGAGGGAGAGGAAAGGACTCCACAATTCGGGGTCTCCAAGGGGAGCCCCTCCACCACGTGCCTCTCGGTGGGAGTCCGTGGTCACCGTGACTCTGGTGGGTCGGCGTCCTCTCCGCCGCCTGCTACTGTGGATGGGGAGGGCAAGTTTCTGTGGCCCTAAAACTGGGAGAGAGTGGCTGGTTCCTCTGCTCCCCGTTCCAGCCACCCGGGGAGCGCAGGTGTAGACCCCCCGCATCGTCGTCCCCAGTGGGGACGAGAGGATTCGGAATCTCCCTGCGCAAGTTTGGAATTTCAGACAATCAAAGCGCCTCTCCTCTGGCAGCCTGGCCCCTAGGTCTCAATACCGCGCTCCCCGCGCGCCCCCCCCACCTCGACCCCGACCCAACGCCCGGCTGGCGTTTCCAGCGTCCTTTGCACCTCCATCCCCAGACCCGCATTGTTAACCCAGGAAGACCCAGTCACTTACAGACTTCACGATCCAGATCCTAAAGCCCGTGGGGAGGAGAATATGTGGAAGTAAGGTGTGCTCCTGAAGCTTCCTCTCCCCGCCGCCCCCACCCCGGTGCCTTCAACTGTGACTGGGGGAGGGAATGCCTTGGGGGGTGGGGCGCATTCCAGAGTGACATTCCACAGCAGACCCTTGAACACTTCCAAGTCTCAGAGTGCTCAGGACATTTTGACTCAAATGCCTGGCCTTGGTGCAGGGTGGAGGTAGGGGGATGGGGTGGGGTATCTAGGCTGAGGTTCGAGGAACCCCTACCCACCCACGCACCAACCTACCCTTTGAGGCAGCTTCTTCCTGGCACAGGCATCTCCTGTGTGCCTTCTAATTAATGGGGTAAACACCTGAGCGCCCTGGACAGAGGGGTGAGACAATGGGATCTCACCAGGGACAGAGAGAGAGTCCATGGGAGTGGAGGCAGGAAGCCTGTCAGTGGGGCCATCGCCCTTCTCCATAGGCTGCTGAGTGTGAGGGATGGGAAGAAGGAAGGTATCCCGGGGTGAACACCGCCTTTGAGAGCGCCAGGATCATGGCACCTCGAAGATAGCCATTGGCCATGGGTCAGTGTTGAGCTTGGGTGGCCCTGTGACACCCTGTGACACACTGGAGCTCTCTTTCCAACCAAGATGGTGCTGGAGCAAGGAAGCGAGTGTCTCTCTGGAAGAGTGAGAAGGCCTGGCTGTCTCCACTGTTGCTGGATGACGCCACTTGTTGCTGGGGGAAAGCAGTCAGGGTTGCTTGGGCCTCTGAGCCCACCAGGCCTCTGCTCCCCCTGGAGAGAGAAGGAGGGAGGAGGGGGATTCAGCAACTGGATTGGACCAACTCAGACCAGAGCTGGGGGCCGGGTGGCTGAGCCTGGGGAAAGGCTGATTTCAGAGGTGATTAAAAATATTTGTACAACTGATTCCAGGGAAGTGAAGCAAAAGGCCCTTTTGTCCAGAAAATAATCTTGAGGTTGGGGCTGGGCTTCAGCTGTGAGGTGGGGGAGACTCAGGGTGGAAGGAGGTCCCCCTCCAACCCCACTCCTTACACCCTCTGAGAACCTTTAAGCAGAAGATGCAACTCCAAAGTGAAGGGGCAGCCCTGGGTGCAGAGAAATGCACCTGAGACCATCCAGAGGTGACTTGCAAATATCCGCTGTGTTTAGGCACAGCACCGGCTGTGGCAGAGGATGCCAGGAGAACTCTTGTTCACCAGCTTCAGAGACCCTACAGCCCTGGAAGGGAGACACAGACATGATTTGAACATTCAGGGGTCAGATGGCTGAGTATTAGTGCAGGGACCAGGGGCCCACAGGAGGCAGAAGGTTCCTCCAAGGCCCTGAGGAAAAGCCACATCTTAAAAGGTGGCATTGGGCCAGGCACAGTGGCTCCTGCCTGTAATCCTAGCACTTTGAGAGGCTGAGGTGGGCAGATCACCTGAGGTCAGGAGTTCAAGAACAGCCTGACCAACATGGTGAAACCCCATCTCTACTAAAAAACAAAAATTAGCCAGGCATGGTGGCAAGCACCTGTAATCCCAGCTCCTCAGGAGGCTGAGGCAGGAGAATCACTTGAACCTGGGAAGTGGAGGTTGCAGTGAGCTGAGATTGCACCACTGCACTCCAGCCTGGGTGACAGAGCGAGACTCTGTCAAACAAACAAAAAAGGTGGCATTGACTTCATGTGCACTCCCAGCATCAGACGGCTGGAGCTACGCTCTTCCGAGCTTCTCTTTAATTCTCTGAGGGTTGCTGTCTCAGGCAATAGATGAGAGCCACGCCCAGAAAGCCCAGTTTTCCCGAGTGATATATTTCTGTTTTCCCACGTGCCCTTCCATTTCTAGGTGAACCAGAGAAATAAGGTATTTCAGGGTGGGACCAGGTTGTTTCCTCTGAGGCTATGAAATTGCTCAGGAGCTTACTAAAAGCAGCAGCATGGTACCTGGATGGGGTGAGGGCAGATAGATACAGGAAGGTATCTATTCCAAGGAATCTCTCATTCCTTGGAAGTTTCTATATTGAGGGTGTTGGCAGCAGAAGCAAGACTTGGAGGGTCAGGTGCAGAAGGAAGTTGCTGCTCACCAACGACAAAGTCAGGGGGAAATTGGAGGTGGGGGCTTGGGGACAGAGAGCTGTGAAGCTTCCCTGACCCTGGTCCAAGTGTTTGTGGGCTTCTGGGGGCTGGCAGGGTACAGGTAAGTATTTCGAGGGCAAGAAGAATGAGTGACATTGGGTCCCTGGCTTGATTTTTTGTAATGACATCCCTGTTAGATTTGAACTTGTAGGGTGGGCTTTAGCTCCACAGCCACCCCCCAACCCCGCACCACCACCCCGCCATCATCCAAGCAGCCCTTCGATTGTTCTTTGGAAAGGATCTCTCAGAGCTGGCCATTGTGGCTTTAACTTTGGCCTTTATCTTTAAACTGGGTTGAATGTGCCCCCCCCCCAACAAATCGATTGCCTGTGCTTTTTTACCACTCATCTCTTAAAAGCACGACCCTGGCTATGCCCCCATCATGCTAAAAACAGCCTTCAGTGGCTGCCCGTTGCCTTTTAGAATCATGCCCCCAGCCCCGCCCCTGTAGCATTTCCAATCTGTCAGCCAGCAGCTGCAGCCTCCCTTTACAAACTCAGCTGATACTTGGCAAACTGAATTCTTTTTTCACTTGCTCTGGATTTGGGCTCAACCTAGGGCTTTGACTCGTACCATCTTTTCTGCCCTGCATTTCCCTCTCATTGCTTCCTTTGCCTGCTCAGCCCTTCCTCACGTTCTTCAGGGCTTAGCTCTGGTTGTCCCTGTCTCTTGTCAGTGTCTGGGACCTGGTATTTTTTTTTTTTTAATTAGATACTGAACAAAACTGTGAAACAGTCTTTCTCTGCTCTTCCTGGTTCTCTTCTGTGATCCTGTAGCCCCTGTCTCTCTCCTACAGGTAAATTCTGTTGTGTGGTTCTTAATCATATTCTCCCTTGTGTAATTTTTCTGAGTACCTACCTTATCTCTCCTATTAGATTTTTTTTTGTTTTTTTGAGATGGAGTTTCGCTCTTGTTACCCAGGCTGGAGTGCAATGGCGCGATCTCGGCTCACCGCAACCTCTGCCTCCTGGGTTCAGGCAATTCTCCTGCCTCAGCCTCCTGAGTAGCTGGGATTACAGGCACGTGCCACCATGCCCAGCTAATTTTTTGTATTTTTAGTAGAGACGGGGTTTCACCATGTTGACCAGGATGGTCTCGATCTCTTGACCTCGTGATCCACCAGCCTCGGCATCCCAAAGTGCTGGGATTACAGGCTTTAGCCACCGTGCCTGGCCTTCCTATTAGATTTTAAATACTGTCAAGCCAGGGACTGTGTTCATGTTTGTATTTTTCACAGCTCTGAGAACAACAGGGCCTTTCTTTCCCAGGTTCAGAGTCAGTATTTGCTGATTGGGAGCAGTTGCCTGTTCTAAACTGGGCCCTGGCCGAGGGAGGTGGGGTGAGAAGCCCATGAAAGTGCAGGTGCAGCCTGTAATTCCAGTACTTTGGAGGCTGAGGCAGGTGGATCACCTGAGGTCGGGAGTTTGAGACCAGCCTGATCAACATGAAGAAACCCTGCCCCCACATCTCTACTAAAAATATAAAATTAGCTGTGCATGGTGGAATCTGCCTGTAATCCCAGCTACTCGGGAGGCTGAGGCAGGGGAATCACTTGAACCTGGGAGGTGGGGGCACGGTGAGCTGAGATCGCGCCATTACACTCCAGCCTGGGCAACAAGAGCAAAAGTCCGTCTCAAAAAAAAAAAAAGTGCAGGTGCCCCAGAGGCTAAATGGCCCTTCTCAGTGTTTGTTCTCTTCCCTACTTCCAGCTTCAGCTGGACGTTCTGGCTGGCTAGCTGGCTGTAGGGCCCAAGATGGAGCTGAACACTTAGGATTCCAGAGCATGTTATTATTCATAAATTATCTCCTGGGAGTGGCTCAATATTACTCCTTGCCTCTTAGCCCTGGCTTACTCCTCTTTCCAGCACTTGTAAATAAAATACAGTTGGTGCTTTATTGATTTAGAAAGTCCCCTACAGAAGCTTATTTAAGCCCTGCATTAGAAGTGAAGAGGAACTAGCTGTGACAATGCCAGTTTTTTAGGAAAACAACAGTACATTTACATAAGAGGGTTAATTTTAAGAGTTAAGCAAGGCCAGGTGTGGTGGCTCACGCCTATAATCCCAGCAGTTTGGGAGGCCGAGGCAGGTGGATCACGAGGTCAAGAGATGGAGACCATCCTGGTCAACAAGGTGAAACCCCGTCTCTACTAAAAATACAAAAATTAGCTGGGCACGGTGGTGCACGCCTGTAGTCTCAGCTACTTGGGAGGCTGAGGCAGGAGAATTGTTTGAATCCAGAAGGTGGAGGTTGCAGTGAGCCGAGATCGCACCATTGCACTCCAGTCTGGGTAACAATGGTGAAACTCTGTCTCAGAAAAAAAAAAAAAAAGAGTTAAGCGAGCTTAATGGAAAGATGAGGTAGCTGAGATGGCTAAGAAGACCTAAATATTTTCAAGTGGCATGCAGGATACCTGCAGGGACTTTGAAAATGCATCTTTATTATGTCTATTTCACTTAATTTTATGAGTTTCATTGCCCTGATTTAGTAAGTGTTCTTTCACATATTAATTATGGACAGAATTTTTTTAAAAATTTTTTTGTTTCTGTGTTGAAGAGAGGGACAATTTCTATCAGCTGTGGGATTTAAGGTTTTCATTTGCCTTTTAGAAATTAAGTAGCCATGAATGGTTTAACAAAAGAAACAGCACTTTGGGAGGTCAAGGTGGGTGGATCACGAGGTCAAGAGTTCGATAACATCCTGGTCAACATGGTGAAACCCTGTCTCTACTAAAAATACAAAATTTAGCTGGGCATAGTAGCGTGTGCCTGTAGTCCCAGCTACTCGGGAGGCCGAGGAAGGAGAATTGCTTGAACCCAGGAGGCGGAGGTTGCGGTGAGCTGAGATCGCGCCATTGCACTTCAGCCTGAGTAACGAGTGAAACTCCATCTAAAAAAAAAACAGTAAGGAGGTAAGCCTTGTATAAACAACCCCCTAATCCCCCTAAAAAAGGAAGAAAGACTGTAGCCTCACAGGATAGAGTTAGATAATGCCATTCCCCTGCCAGCCACTAGTGGTCACTGTCAGACCAGGAAAGCTTGGTTGCTGTCTTTCCAGAGGGTTCCTGATGAGGCGGGGTTACAACTAGTTATTTGAACATGTGGGGTGACTTAAATGTGGACTACCTGTGTTCATAGAATTTCAAAGTGCATAATGTGCTTCTTAAAGCATTTAAAATTTCTCTTTCTTTTTTTGGAAACAGAGTCTCACTCTGTTGCCCAGGCTACAGTGCAGTGGTACAATCACAGCTCACTATAGTCTTGATCTCCTGGGCTCAGCTGATCCTCTTACCTCAGCCTCCCAAGTAACTCAGACTACAGGCACATGCCACCACACCCTGCTAGATATATATATATGTAATTTTTTTTTCAGATGGAGTCTTATTCTTTTGCCCGGGCTGGAGTGCAGTGATTCCATCTCAGCTCACTGCCATCTCTACCTCCTGGGCTCAAGCGATTCTCCTGCTTCACCCTCCTGAGTAGCTATCATTATAGGTGCGCACCTCCACGCCTGGCCAATTTTTGTATTTTTAGTAGAGATGGGGGTTTCACCATTTTGGTCAGGCTGGTCTCAAACTCCTGACCTCAAGTGATCTGCCCACCTTGGCCTCCCAAAGTGCTGGGATTACAGTTGTGAGCCACTATGCCTGGCTGCTAATTTATATATTTTTTTGTAGAGACTGGTTTCACCATGTTGCCCAGGCTGGTCTCAAACTCCTGGACTCAAGCAATCAGTCCACCTTGCCTACCAGAGTGCTGAGATTATAGGCATGAACCAACGTGCCTAGCTGCATTTACATGTTCAGTGTAAGGTTTCCTCCAAGTACATTTAAAACTTTTGATTGGCCGGGCGTGGTGGCTCACGCCTATAATCCCAGCACTTTAGGATGCCGAGGCGGGTGGATCATGAGGTCAAGAGATTGAGACCCTCCTGGTCAACAGGGTGAAACCCCGTCTCTACTAAAAATACAAAAAATTAGCTGGGCATGGTGGCGCGTGCCTGTAATCCCAGCTACTCAGGAGGTTGAGGCAGGAGAATTGCCTGAACCCAGGAGGCGGAGGTTGCGGTGAGCCGAGATCGCGCCATTGCACTCCAGCCTGGGTAACGAGCGAAACTCCGTCTCAAAAAAAAAAAAACCTTTTGATTGGAGAAAACTCATTGATTTGGTCTTTAATGTCTCTTAACCTGATACATCCATTACCTCCACTTCACACAGGGAACATCCAGTTGCTACTAGGAGCAGGGGTTTGGTTTTCTTCTCTGGCGCAGCTCTATGGCACTTGGTAGAGCTTGCAGTGAGTAGATGGAGTGAAAATTACCTTGCTGGTGTTAATAAAAGCTAACTTTCTTGCCTTCTAGCGAGGACGTCTTAAAGTCTTCCATTAAAGAGTAATTCCTTTGGGTTTCGCCTTGCCCTTGCCTGGTTCTTACTTTTAAAATGTTAATGCTCCACAGGAAAATGTTTGCATTAAGTCATTAACTCCTTGACTTCAGCATCTGAGCTAGCCAAAAATTGAGGATTCTGAAGTGGAGACTTGGCACTGAAAATGGGAAAATGACTGTCTCTTCATTTTTCCTGACTGCTGGCTATGCCTGCTTCAGGCCCTTGTTAAGCCCTTATTGAATGAATGAATGAGTGAATGAATGAATGAATGAATGCATAGCTGCCTGGCTATAGATTTAAGCATCAGAGGGATGGAGTTTAAGGGCATAGCCTGACCTCCTGGAGCCTGGAAGTCCCAGGGCAGAGAGGAAGTGCTGGGTGGGTGGGGTGCTTGGTCTTGACTTGTTCACAAGCCCCTTCGTCCTCCACCCCAGCCACCAGAGTTCAGGGAATAGCTGAACCCAGGTTACGGTTGGTGGAAGGGAGGGAACTGAAAATTCCCTGACAGTTTTTTCCGTTGCCATGGCTAAGAAAAGGGCTGACAAATGGGCTTCATCTCATTTGCCTCTCTAGCTAGTTGAAATGCCTCTTAGGACTTCTGTGTTAAGGATTCTGAGATCCAGAGAGCCTCATGGTCAGCTAGCACTGTCCCACTGGGTTTGGGATGGGGGAAGCAGCACCATGTTTATTGGAGTCTGACCTTGGAGGACTAATTTTGTCCCTTTTCCTTCCTTCCTTTGTCCCTTTCTTCTCTAGGGACCCGACTGGAGCCTGGCCTGGGAGCCAGGATGGCCATCCACAAAGCCTTGGTGATGTGCCTGGGACTGCCTCTCTTCCTGTTCCCAGGGGCCCGGGCCCAGGCCCAGGGCCATGCTCCACCCGGCTGCAGCCCAGACCTCAACCCCCTCTATTACAACCTGTGTGACCGATCTGGGGCATGGGGCATCGTCCTGGAGGCGGTGGCTGGGGCAGGCGTCGTCACCACGTTTGTGCTCACCATCATCCTGGTGGCCAGCCTCCCTTTTGTGCAGGACGCCAAGAAGCGGAGCCTGCTGGGGACCCAAGTGTTCTTCCTGCTGGGGACCCTGGGCCTCTTCTGCCTCGTGTTTGCCTGTGTGGTGAAGCCCGACTTCTCCACCTGTGCCTCTCGGCGCTTCCTCTTTGGGGTCCTGTTCGCCATCTGCTTCTCCTGTCTGGTGGCCCACGTCTTTGCCCTCAACTTCCTGGCCCAGAAGAACCATGGGCCCCGGGGCTGGGTGGTCTTCACTGTGGCTCTGCTGCTAACCCTGGTGGAAGTCATCATCAACACGGAGTGGCTGATCATCACCCTGGTTCGGGGCAGTGGCGAGGGCGGCCCTCAGGGCAACAGCAGTGCCTACTGGGCCGTGGCTTCCCCCTGCGCCATCGCCAACATGGACTTCGTCATGGCGCTCATCTATGTCATGCTGCTGCTGCTGGCTGCCTTCCTGGGAACCTGGCCTGCTCTGTGTGGCCGCTTCAAGCGCTGGCGTAAGCACGGAGTCTTCGTGCTGCTCACCACGGCCACCTCCATGGCCATCTGGGTGGTGTGGATTGTCATGTATACCTACGGCAACAGGCAGCGCAACAGCCCCACCTGGGATGACCCCACGCTGGCCATCGCCCTCGCCGCCAACGCCTGGGCCTTCATCCTCTTCTATGTCATCCCCGAGGTTTCCCAGGTGACCAAGGCCAGCCCAGAGCAAAGCTACCAGGGGGACATGTACCCCACCCGGGGCGTGGGCTATGAGACTATCCTGAAAGAGCAGAAGGGTCAGAGCATGTTCGTGGAGAACAAGGCCTTTTCCATGGATGAGCCAGCGGCAGGTGGGTCTCCAGGGGTGCCCCCAGGCCCCTTTTTCCATCCCATACCTTTTACTGCAGGACAGGGAGCCAGTCTCTTGAGCAAAAGGGGAGGTTTTTGAGGTTTTCTGCCTAAGTGTCTCTAAATTCCATTTATTTTAAAGATTTTTTTTTCATCCAGGCATGGCAGATCATGCCTGTAATCGCAGCACTTTGGGAGACCAAGGTGGGTGGATCACTTGAGACCAGCCTGACCCACATGGTGAAACCCCCGTCTCTACTAAAAATCCAAAAAAAATTAGTTGGGTGTGAGTAGCTGGGCATGGTGGTACACGCCTGTAGTCCCAGCTACTTGGGAGTCTGAAGCAGGCGAGTCACTTGAACCCAAGAGGCAGAGGTGGCAGTGAGCCAGGATTGCGCCGCTGCACTCCAGCCTGGGTGACAGAAAGACCTTGCCTCAAAAAAAGAAAGAAAAAACAATAGCTGGATGTAGTGGTGCGTGCCTGTAATCCCAGCTACTCAGGAGGTTGAGGCAGGAAAATCACTTGAACCCAGGAGGCAGAGGTTGCAGTTAGCCAAGTTCGAGCCACTACACTCCAGCCTGGGTGACAGAGTAAGACTCCGTCTCAAAAAAAAAACCAACAAAAGTTTTTTTTCTATGTTTATATAATTCATGCACATATTCTTACTGTAAAATTTCAAACATTTCAGATAAAATGGAATTTTCCCCAGCTACCTCCCCAGTCCTACCCATCCCATCCTGTTCCATATGCAGAAGTGACCACTACTGACTGGTATAATATCTATGTGCCTCAGTTTCTCCATTTGTAAAATGGGGATAATAAGAGTACCTATTTCACACGGTTCTTGTGAGGATTAAATTAATTAGTGCCGGCTGGGGGAGTTGGCTCCCACCTGTAATCCCAGCACTTTGGGAGGCTGAGCTGGATGGGGCTTGAGCCCAGGAGTTGAGACCAACCTGGGCAACATAGTGAGACCCCCGTCTCTACAAGTAATTTTTAAAATTAGCTAGGTGTGGTGGTACACACCTATGGTCCCAGCTCCTTGGGAGGCTGAAGCAGAAGAATTGCCTGGGTCCAGGAGGTTGAGGCTTCAGTGAGCCATGATGATGCCACCACATTCCAGCCTGGATTGTCTTAAAAATAAATTGCTTAGTGCCCAGCTCATGAAAAGCTCTCTCAAAGAATTAACTATTTGCTATTACATGTGTATGAGTATTATTTTACGTATTTTACTAATACTATCCTTCCAGAACTTGTTTTCTATTATGTATGTATCCATAATCACCTTAGTTTTCTTTAAAAGGAAGTATTTTTCAGTTAATTTTTTTCTTTTTTTCAATTTTTTGAGACGGGGTCTCACTCTGTCACCCAGGCTGGAAAGCAGTGGTGCAATCTCAGCTCACTGCAACCTCCACCTCCACAGCTCAAGCGATTCTCCTGCCTCAGCCTCCCCAGTAGTTGGGAATACAGACCCACGTCACCACACCTGGCCCATTTTTGTATTTTTAGTAGAGACGTGGTTTCACTATGTTGGCTAGGCTGGTTTTGAACTCCTGACCTCAAGCGATCCACCCGCCTTGGCCTCTCAAAGTGCTGGGATTCACCACACCCGGCCTTTTTCTCTTTTTAATAAAAGCACTTGGGGTGCCGTATAGTGGTCTCAGCAGCATCCCTGTTAGCTGTGCAGCCCACTAGCATTTCCTCAGCACCTGCTCTAGGCCAGCCCCTGTGCTAATTCCCTTCCCGGTGTGGCCCGTTGCACGCATCTCACATGCTCTTCCTCAGCCTGCTGGCTGCAGCCCCTCATCTGACATGACCTGGAAATCTGAGGGCACCATCTCAAAGCCTTGACCCCGCCCCCAGACTGTGATGATCTGGAGGCCTGGGGCTTAAGACTTTCTTAACTACCGGGTTAACGGGCACCGGCTCTGGAGCCTCTGCCGGGAGATCAGAGTCAGGCTGCGGCGAAGTTACAGAATCAGAGACATTCCTTTTTTTTCTACAAACTGTGAAATCCTCATAATCCCTGCTTTGGGGAAAGAGATGACCCTTGTCCTGCCAGGCATTTGATCTTGGATCTACCCACCTGGGCGAAGGTGCTGGCTGCACTCACAGAGTGTGCATGGGGGGTGGAATTGGCAAAGCCCCCCGGAGAGGCGGGGCTTATGGACAGGTGCTGGGAGGAGCCTCAGGCCCTGCCCCCACACGAGTGCCTGTCAGGGCCAAATGATTCTCAACGTTTGGGGCTGAGTTTTTCCTTTTTTTTTTAAATGGAAAAATCAATAGAGTGAGCCCAGCACTTAGGAAGCTATATAGGTTTCGGTCCCTCAGAGCTGGGGGACCGTCGGCCCTGTCGGAGCCAGACATCCGCTGTGCCGCCCTCCAGCCAGGCCAGTTCCAAGGTCCCGGGTGGGTCTGCAGCCCTCTTCAAACACCCTGGGAGTGCCCAGCAGGGCGGAACACATCGGGAAACCAACACCGCAAAGGCACAGGGATGTGTCCCTGGAGCTAAAAATAGTTCTGGAGACTTGCCCCGGGCCACGGTATGGGACTGCATTAAGGCTCCCCGGCAGGGCTCTGGGTTGGTGTAGTGGGGAAGGGGCGCCCAGGGAGGACATGAAGAGGCTTAGGCAGATGGGTCTCAGATGCTGTATTTACCCCTGCGCCTGGCAGCTGGCCTGTGGTGACAGGCAGAGCTGGAGGCTGGCCATCTTGGAAGGCGGCCGAAGGCCCATGTGTCCTCTTGGCCTCTGGCCCCAGAGGGCGGATGGGGATGTGGAGGTTGCTGACAGAGCATTTTCTGAGCTGTTGGGTCCGGGGCTGGGGGTCCTACATTGCAGGGAAGACCACAGTGTCATTTCCTCCCTGCATCAGTACAGAGGGGTGTTGGGCTTGGGAGAGGGCCCCCGTGTTCACAACCTCACCCCCAAGTTGGCCACTCCTGGGTTAGAGACTATGCCAGGGTTGGCTTGTCCCCTCTTCCCTCTCCCTGCCTTGCTTGCCTTGTGGGAGGTGGGGAAGAGAGCTGAGAGCTCTGGGATCTTCAATTCGTTCCTGCTTTTCCTTGCAGCTAAGAGGCCAGTGTCACCATACAGCGGGTACAACGGGCAGCTGCTGACCAGTGTGTACCAGCCCACCGAGATGGCCCTGATGCACAAAGGCCCGGTGAGTGGGTCCCCAGGTCCCTGTGACACGGCTGGGCTACAGAGCACAGCCTTAGCGGGTCAGCGGGAGAAGGCCATGTGGCCAGAGCTGGGTTGTGTGGAAGTGGTGGGAGAAAGGCAGGTTTCTCCATCTGATGCTTCTACCAGTGAATCCAGAGCCCTTCCTTCTCCTGGAGCCGGTGTGCCCACCACTTTCAGTTGCACTGCAGTGGGGCCTGCCCTATGTCACTGGGGCATCCACACAGGCCGTACCTGGATGCTAAAGGGAATACTGCGTGAGCTCCCCTTGGTGGGAGCTGCCAGCTTTATTCTGGAGAACCTGGGGAGGGACAAAGGAGGGTCTCAGCCAGGTGCTCCCAAATTGGGCAAGGGACCAAATGTAGCAGGTCTGGAGAGCTGTTTGTTTACTTCTGAACCATAGCTGTGCCAAGGGGGCCTGCGCCTCCCCTCCCACTCCGGCAGGCAATAAGTCTCGACCTTACACCTCCCCTGGGTTCTAGAAACTAGATGCTCGTTAGCAAGCGGGGGCGGGGAGCAGGAAGACGGTGGGTTGGATTCTACTCACTCCTATATGTGTTCCTCCTCCCGGCTGGCAGAGGCTATGGGGAGAAGTCAGTGACCTGTCTTGGCAGGACGCTGGGAACAGGAAGAGAGGAGGTCAGCCGGGTGGCGTTCTCATCCCCCTCCCCGCCCTCTCAGTGAGAGCCCCAGGGCAGGGGGAGGCGAGTGTGGATGAAGCTTCCAATCCCAGCACCTCCCCCCTCCCTGAGCCTGAACCTGAGCCTGGGCAGAGGAGAGTTTCTCCAGGACCAGAAGTGGAAGCTGCGCCCGCCAGCCCTGGGGGCATAGGCAGCCACAGAAGCCTTTCCTGAGCGGCTTTCCTCACCGCTGTTGAGCCTTGTTCCCCAGCGTGTTTGGAGTCGGATTCCTGGGGGATGATGTGTACTAACAGGGAGATTTTATCTGACTAGTTCTCAAAACATGGTCCCGGGCGGCCACCAGCGTTAGTCTCACCTGGGAACCTGCTAAAAGTGCAAATGGGGGCCCGGCGCAGTGGTTCACACCTGTAATCCCAGCACTTCGGGAGGCTGAGGCAAGTGGTTCATTGAGGTCAGGAGTTCAAGACCAGCCTGGCCAACATGCCAAAACCCTGTGTCTACTGAAAAAAAAAAAAAAAGCCGGGTATGGTGGCACACACCTCTAGCCCAGCTACTAGGGAGGCTGAGGCCAGAGGATCACTTGAACCCAGGAATTGGAGGCTGCAGTGAGGCAAGATCTCACCACTGCACTCCAGCCTAGAAAAAATAAATAAATAACAAATAAAAATAATAAAAGTGTGGGTGGGGCAGGGCCAGCCCTGGGATGGAGCCAACCGTTAGCCTCCCTTCAGGGCATGGCCACCAGGGGGCACTATCCAGAGCAGATCTGTAAGCCCTGCATTCAGCACTCCCTCCCCCAGCCCCAGTTGCTGCCAGCTGCATGGGGCCCACTGGGGAGGGTCCAGCTACGAGTTGATAAGGCTTAACAAGCAGCGCAGGTGATTCCAATGCACACCCAGGTTCAGGGCCACGTGGACAGGGAGCTATTGCAGACAGGCCTGAGGCCCTCCTGGGTCTGATTGACTTGAAGGCTGGTTCGGGGCCTGGGAGCTAGAGATTTGGTGGCAGCTCTTTCCCATAGGGCTAAGACACAGGGGCCAGGAATTCACCTTCCCTGTAGCATGGGAGCCAGAACAGCTACCTCAGGACCCTCTAAACCTCACAGCCAGTGTTTGTCACCCACAGGGGAGCAAGACCCAGTTCGAAGCAGAGAATTCAGGTTTCAAGACAACAAATCTGGGCCAGATGCAGTGGCTCATGCCTTTAATCCCAGTGCTTTGGGAGACTGACATGGGAGAATTGCTTGAGGCCGGGGGTTCGAGACCAGCCCTGGCAATGTAGTGAGACCACCCCCAGTCTCCACTGCCACCATCTCCACTAAAAAAATAAAAAAAAAAAAAAAAGACTCCAAATCAGACCGGCCAACCTAGATGCCCAAGAGAGGTGTGGGCATGTGCAGGGCCATGCCCTCCGCCAGGGAAGCCACAGCTGTGACGCTAGGGGATGGTAGTGACAGTGGTAGACTCGGGGTAAGATTCTTGGAGGGAGGGGGCCTGGGAGCCATACCAGACAGGTAGTAGCAGCTCTGTGTGGCTGACCCTCCACTGTCCCTAAGGTTTCCCTAAAGAATTGGAAGCAGGAGGGGGCTTGGGAAGAGGACCCCCCTCTGTTAAGCTCCAGCACCATCCAAGGTCACCAGGGGCCCTGTTTCCATGCCCAGAAGTAGGGTGAAGTAAGGAGCTCAGATCTGGCCGTCCCAGGCCACCCCTGGGGCCCAGCCAGAGGGGGCAGAGGAGCCGAGGGGGAAGCTGGGGGGGATGGGGGGAGCTGGCAGGCCCAGCCCTGCAGGAAGCGAGTGTTTGTGCATCCGCCCTGGCGGAACCCGGCTCCTGATCCCCGACCGTGAGACCGCCTGTTCTTCCTTCCAGTCCGAAGGAGCTTACGATGTCATCCTCCCACGGGCCACCGCCAACAGCCAGGTGATGGGCAGTGCCAACTCGACCCTGCGGGCTGAAGACATGTACTCAGCCCAGAGCCACCAGGCGGCCACGCCGCTGAAAGACGGCAAGAACTCTCAGGTCTTTAGAAACCCCTACGTGTGGGACTGAGTCAGCGGCAGCCAGGAGAGGCGGGCAGATTTGGGGAGGGCCCTGAGGACCTGGCCCCGGGCAAGGGGCTCTCCAGGCTTCTCCTTCCACTGGCAGGCTCAGCAGCGTGGGCTCCGGAGCTGGATGGGCCTCCCTTTCTGCCAGTGTTTGGGTGGATGTCCTGGGTGTCCCCACCCACTCCTCAGTGTTTGTGGAGTCCAGGAGCCAAGCCCAGCCTCCTGCCAGGTTCACCTCGGCGGTCTCACTCCAGCCAAATAGTGTTCTCGGGGTGGTGGCTGGGCAGCGCCTATGTTTCTCTGGAGATTCCTGCAACCTCAAGAGACTTTCCAGGCGCTCAGGCCTGGATCTTGCTCCTCTGTGAGGAACAAGAGTGCCTAATAAACATGTTTCTGCTTTATTAACTCGCTCTGGGGCTGTGGTTTCTGAACTGGGCTCCTGGCTTCCAATGAACCTCTCCTCCACCGTGGCCTGTGGGTGACGAGTCTTTCTCTTCCCTCCAAATCCAGCTCACATTTAAAGCTGCTGCAGATTTCTCCTTTCGTGCAATTAAGTAGCTGATGCCTCTCCCCAGCAAAGGATTCTTTAGCCGGTCTTCTGTCTGTATTGTGGGTGATCAGATTGAACACCTGGGCTCAGCGCACGCCTAGGATGCAGTCCCACACCTGGGCTTGTCTGAGGCCAGGCAGCTTTCCTCTGGGACCCCCCTCCAGTGGCTGCAGGGACAGGATTGGGAAGGTAGGCCTTGAGCAGGTATATAAGGGAAGATGAACTAATTTCATTTTATTTTTTTGAGACGGAGTTTCGCTCTTGTTACCCAGGCTGGAGTGCAATGGCGCGATCTCGGCTCACCACAACCTCCGCCTCCTGGGTTCAGGCAATTCTCCTGCCTCAGCCTCCTGAGTAACTGGGATTACAGGCACACGCCACTATGCCCAGCTAATTTTTTGTATTTTTAGTAGAGACGGGGTTTCATCATGTTGACCAGGATGGTCTCAATCTCTTGACCTCGTGATCCACCCTCCTTGGCCTCCCAAAGTGCTGGGATTACAGGCGTGAGCCACCGTGCCTGACGATTAACTAATTTTATCCTCTCCTGGGATGAATGACAGGGAAGATCCCATAGGGGACAAAGTGGAGACTCTTCTGCTCCATGCTTTGAGATCACACCATGTGATACGTGCAAAGGAATGGCCTAGAGAGGGTCAGGAATTGTTTACGAATGGGTTGACAAAGGTGCAGAGGGTTGGGCCTGTTCTGGTTGGTTTTTTATTCCTGAGTGGTCATTAAAGTGTCCATTTGTGCAGAGCGCAGTGGCTCACGCTTGTAATCCCAGCACTTTGGGAGGCCAAGGTGGGAGGATCACTTGAGCCTAGGAGTTCCAGACCAGCTTGGTAACATAGTGAGATGCTGTTTCTACAAAAAAAAAAAAAAAAAAAAAAATTAAAGAATTAGCCAGGCATTAGTCCCCACTACTCACAGGTCTGAGGTGGGCAGATGTCCTGAACCAGGATGTGAGGCTGCAGTGAGCCGTGATCACACCACTGCACTCCTGCCTGGCCAATGGCAAGGCTCAGTCTCAAAAAGAAAAGAAAGTCACTTTGTTCAGTGCTTTATGGTAAGCAAAGCCTTTCCTCATCAGCTCATTTGTTTTTTAATTAAAAATTTTTTTCTTTTTTGAGACAGAGTCTTGCTCTATTGCCTAGACTGGAGTGCAGTGGCACAATCTCAGCTCACTGCAACCTCTGCCTCCCAGGTTGAAGCAATCCTCCTGGCTCAGCCTCCCGAGTAGCTGAGATTAGACATGTGCCCGGCTAACTTTTCTGTACGTAGTAGAGGCAAAGTTTCACTGTGTTGCCCAGGCTCATCACAAACTTCTGGTCTCAAGTGATCTGTCCACCTCGGCTTCCTGAAGTGCTAGGGTTCAGGCATGAGCCACCACGCCCGGCCCATCAGCTCATTTTATTCCCCGAGGCTGCCCTGGGAGGTGGGCAGGACTAGTATTCTCTCCATTTTCCAGACTCAAAGTCCCAGAACTATACCATTTTGGGCTAAGACAGGGTCTCAGAGTGGTTATACCACCCCCTTTCACAGGTAAGCGAACTGACCCAGAGAGGTCTGGGTGGACAGGCCAACACTGACCAGGTTTTCCTAAGACGCTGAGGGCCAGCAGCCTTTCTCTGTGGCCCACGCTGGGCGAGCCAGTCCAGTGGGCAGCACTTCCAGCCATGCGGTTGAGACAGCAGAGTCCTGACCTTTGGACGCTGGCTAGGCTTTGCCAGGGGGCTGCCGGGCCTGCCCCGGGGAGCCCACTCCTCCCAGGCTTGGGAATGTTTCTCCCAACTAGTCAGAAGCTATTTTCTGATACCAGTTTTAGGGAAGAAATGTTTTTGTTGAAAGGGAGAGAAAGGTTGCTGGGGAAAAACAAACAAACTTCTCCCAAACTTCTCCTTCTATGTTCAGATTGCATTGGCCTCCTGGGGACTGAAACACTATTTTTAAGTAAAAACCAATGCTTGGGCCCCACGCAGTAGAGTCCCTGTTGACTCTTGTTCTTTCTGGTTACTTTAGGCTCAGTCCCTGCAAAGTAAAACGAGATGGTAGAAGCCCTGTTCCCCGGATTGCACGGCATCCTGATGTCCTCATTCCTCTGTACCCAGGCTGGGCCCAGCACCTTTCCCGTCCTTGTCATTGGAGCTGGGAGGGACCGGAGGCCACCGACCTGAAGCAGTGGACTGAGCGGGCCCCCGTGAAGCCCTGAGCATGTGACTGGAGCGCCTAGGGCCCCTCTCTTTCCTGCCCAGCCCATCTTCCTGGTCCCCAAGTGGCTGTGGCTACAGGGAGCTGTCTCCAAGGCTGCCTCCAGCTCCCCTCTTGACACCCTCCCTGAATCATGGCCCCTGTGTCCCTGAGCTGTGGTTCTCCAGATGGCCGTCCTCCCCATTGTGAAAGGCAGCAGGCCTCAGTGCCCCATCTTTACTCTGGACCTTCCTGGCCTCGCCATCTTGGTGTCTGGCATTGGCTTGTCCCACCCTCTGCCTAGATGGATCTCCTCCATGAGTCTTTGGAAACGAGCCGGGGCAGAAGTTGGCCCTTGCCCTTCTCACCAGGGCCTCCTGCCACCACCTGGACTGTGGAAGGCCACTGAGATGGGGGTGGAACTCAGTCCGAGGCCTGGGCACACTGCTGCTCTCCACAGCCTGTGGGTCCCGGATCTGAGCCCCTGGGGTGTTTCACTCGGGAGCCCCTGAGTCATCTACTTCTTCCACGAAGTGGGTCCCACTAGCAAGTCGGGCCAGCCCTGCCTGCACTCTGCCCTCACTGCCCCTTGCCATCTGGGATGAGGATGGCCATGCTGGGAAGAGGCAGCTCTCTCCATCCAGCACTACCTCATGGAGAGCTCACTAAGGATTTGGGAATGGTGGGCCACCCTGGCATCCGGGGTTCAAGGTGGCTCCCGTGGCAGGAACAGTTGTCAATGGGCCTGATTCCTGGGATCTCACGGGTTCTGGGAATGCAGCAGGGGCCTCCCGTGGCTATTCCAACATCTCCGGTCAGGGCCTAGAAGCACCCTTAGGACATGCGGGGTCGGGGTCAAGACTGCCTTCTCAGGGACCAGTGGAGAGCCCTGGACCAGATGAACTGGAGTCTAGGCCTCTCCCGTGACTGGGACTTGGATGTGGTGAGGCCCGTGAGATCCAGGACTAAAGATGCTATTTCCTGATGGGCAGATATGTGAGTGGCATCCTTAGGTAAGTGGGAACCAGGACTAAAGACTGCTCTTTCCTGATGGGCAGATGCTTTAAGTTTCTACCTCACCTTGGGCAGCACCTGGGTGTGCTGGCGCTGGCTCATCACTGGAGGAGCCTCTTGTGTTCTGGGCCCTCAGACATGCTCCAAAGGATCCTGATGGTCACCCAGGGAAGAGGGGGCCTTCTCAGGGCCTCCATGGTGCTGGCACCAAGGACAGAGATGGGTACAGCTCTAGGCTGGTGAAAATGGGCTCTCTTGAGCATCATCTCCTGGGGTTTTTTCTGCCCCTGGTACCAGACAGAGCTGACTTATCCAAGGTGGGCCCTGGAGCTGAGTCCTCAGCCCAGCAGCACCTCTGGGTGCTGGGGTGGAGGGTGTCAACCTAGCAGCAGCACCTCAGGGGAGGTACTCTGTAGCCAGTCCCACCGCTCTCCAGTGCTACCCCCATCCCCAGCAGCCTGTGCCTTTGTCACTGGCATATTTTTCCAGAGCTAAATTGGGCACGTGGTCCCTGCAGAGTAGGACTGCAGCCCTGGCTGTGGCCCCGAACTCTGTTGCTGGCTTGCTGAAGTCCATGATCGGAATGTTATTTCCCTCTGGTGGAAGGGAAGCGGGGAGTTCCGTGGACCTCATACTGCTCTTGGTCTAGTTTAGCAGCCCTAAGATCCCTTAGTGAATCAAGGCACTTTCCTAGCTGATAATCTCTTTCTCCTTCCTTCCCTCCCTCCCTCCCCTCTCTCCCTCCCTCCCTTCCTTCCTTCCTGATGGAGTTTCGCTCTTGTCGCCCAGGCTGGAGTGCAGTGGTGCAGTCTCGGCTCACTGCAACCTCTACCTCCTGGCTTCAAGCAATTCTCCTGCCTCAGCCTCCAGAGTAGCTGGGATTACAGGCACAAGCCACCACACCCAGCTAATTTTTTACTTTTGGTAGAGACACGATTTCTCCATGTTGGTCAGGCTGGTCTCAAACTCTGACCTCAGGTGATCCTCCCACCTGGGCCTCTCAAAGTGCTGGGATTATAGGCGTGAGCCACCGTGCCCGGCCTCTAGGTGATAATTTCAAAGGAGTCCCTGGCAGTGCCTGATGCCCAGAGGCCGCAGTCTCCAGTGGTCATGGTTTTGTATATAGCCTGAGTCCCCTGGGGGTCTGCTCATGAGGCTCAGGGAGGGACAGGCTCCTGAAAGGTGCAGGCTGCCAGTATTCAGGAGTCCCCTGCGGCCTGGGCCAAGTGGCAAAGAAGACAGATGAGTTCTTAGGAGGAGAGAGGCAGCTTCTTGGGGTGATCAAGCAGCATCACAAGCCTTGAATGGAGGAAACCTAGAAGAGGTAGAGCCTGTAGATTCACCATCATCCAGCCCAGTGAGCATGGGAAACCTCACACCCACCACTGTCACACCACGCAGCTTAATGCCAAGGACTTTGGACTTCATAACTGCTCAGAATGAAATGACCTTACCTCCGTGGGTGAGGGCTTGCTGCCACTGAATTCCCGTGTGTTCATAAATTCTTCTGGGATTTACTAGTTTTGTTTTGTTTTTAATTATTTTTAGAGACAGGGTCTTGTTATGCTGCCCAGGCTGGTCTCGACCTCCTGGCCTCAAGCGATTCTCCCATCTCAGCCTTCCAAGTAGATTCCAGGTGCCTGCTCCCCCGCCACCACCCTGCCTCTGAGATTTCTTCACGTGTATTTCCCCCTTATATCTCTTGCTTTTTACATCAACAAAGACTGTTTGATTCCAACTAACCTTTTTCTTTGTTGGGGATTTATTTTAAGGGGAAAACCAGGCCTCCAAAACCACTGAGCTCTCAACCAGCCAAGGCCAGAGAACTCTGCCTACACAAGATGTGGGTGGGGGGAGGCAACCCCAATAGTAACCCTGTTGCTGCCTGTCATGGCTGGGAGAGGCAGCCAGGACAACCCATTGGGAGAAATTCTCCATACACAGACATGCCAAAGGCCAGGTGTGGTGGCTCATGCCTGTAATCCTACACTTTCAGAGGCCAAAGTGGGTGGATCACGATCAGGAGTTTGAGACCAGCCTGGCCAATATGGCAAAACCTAAAAATTAGCCAGGCCTGGTAGAGCGCGCCTGTAATCCCAGCTACTCGGGAGACTGAGGCAGGAGAGTTGCTTGAACCTGGGAGGCGGAGGTTGCAGTGAGCCGAGATCATGCCGCTGCATTCCAGCCTGGGTGGCAGAGTGAGACTTCGTCTCAAAATAAAAGGCATACCGGAAGCAGGGATGGCTGATAAATCCCCCAGGCCATGAAGACCTGCCGAGCGCCATGCCCGGCTTTCCAGTTTACTCGTGTCTCCACTCTTGTTCATCAGCCACCCACAGCTCATAGAAGAGAGCAGGCAACAGAGGCTAAGTGCCTGCCTTGGGGGCGGAGGGTGCTGCCCAGAAGGGTCTGTCAGCCCTCCAAGCCATTCTCGCCAAGGCCAGCACTTTCACTAGCCCCAGAGGACATGCCAAGGTCAGGCCCAGGTGTCAGGGACCCGCATTTGTTTCCTGTCTGCTGTCTCCACTCTGGGGCCTCCAGGAAGCTGCAGCCCCGGTTCACGGCAGCTGCATGAATTATTTAGCATCTGCACCAGACTGGGAGTGCTCTGACCTCATCCTCCTTGGGCCCGGGGTGCGGCTCTGACCTCATCCTCCTTGAGAAAGGGTTGCTGATCAGCAGAGGCTGGAGCGGCAGGTCCCTCTGGGGTGCAGGTGATTAAAAGAATCAATTCACCAGTGCCCTTGGAGAAGAGGGTAGGGAGCAGGGACCCATGCTCTCGTAGCAGGAGGCCACTCTGCAGCATGGAGAGAATATGACTCCGGAATCAGAGGCTGCGGGTTCAGATCCTGGCTGTTTGTAGCTCTGTGACCAGCAGCTCCCTTGGTCCTTCCTCAGTCTTCTCGTCTGAAAAATGGGGGTACCAGCCCCCTGAGTTTGTGATTGGCATTCTGTCCCCTCAGGGTCACCCCTTGAAAGTCATAGCCAAGGCACAGCATCCAGGCACCATCTGCCTAGCGTTTCCTTCGCAGAGAAGCAGATCTCCCAGCCTGATTTCAGTTTGGCAACGCCTGGTGCCACATCCTTCCTTCCCTCTGCTGTGCCTCATGCCCTGGGTCCCCAGAGTGGGTGGCTTGGCAGGTTGCCACAGCTGGAAGAGGATGCTAAGGCAGTGTCCGTGCCTGATTGGCAGGGAAGAAGGGCTAACAAGTGTTAGGAGGGTCACCGGGTGCTCAGGAAGTCTAAGAAGCTAGGCTGAAGAGCTGGGACGGAACTGCTCTCTGCCAGCAAATGTCCACTGGGTGGAGGGGAGGGTGGAGATGAGAGCGATCTGGTCTCTGCCCTCCTTTGCCAGGTCAGGCCTGAGGACTGAAGTGGGAGTGGCCATGGTGAGTCCCAGCAAATGCGTTTTGGGATTAAGCAGGCAGGTGCCTTCAGCAAGCTTCCATCTTCCCCTTTCCAAGCGGCACTTTGGAGGTGGGCAGGGCGTCTCCGGCCAGGGCCTGGCTCCAGCTAGCTCTGTGGCCTTAGACAGCTCCCTGGACTCCCCAGGGTTTCCCCATCTGTAAAATGCACCCCATGTCTCCAGCTATGTCTAAGCCATGGAGGTGGGGTCCCCAGCAGTGGAAAGAGGACCTAAAGGCCCAGGGCTGTGCCAACTGTGCAGCAGATGCACCGCCAGGACACAGGCCCACCGCCTGGATGTGCTTTGAACAGAGAAGCTGGGTCCCTGAGGGTGAATGGGGCCAGTCTCAGCCGGCTGTCCGCCCCATCCCCCCCAACCCCTCGTTCCCCCCAAACTCCTCCAAGCCAGGGACCCGGAGGTGGCTGTTTCTTCTGATTGCGCAAAGGCGACGGTGGCTCGCCTCCCACTGTAACTCCACCGACGGCAAGAGAGGGACCGCGGAAAGAGTTTTACGCTGCGTCCTTAACCCAGCATCCGGGTTGGGAGAGGGGGCGGAGCCCTGGAACCCCAACCGCAGACAGCCCACTCCCCCGCACACACCTGGGTCGGGGGAGATGGGGGTGGGCCCGAGCAGCCGGCACGCCCACGTGCCTCTCCGGCGAGGACCCGGCCACCCCACTGCCAGCCAACCCGAGGCCGCCTCCCGCGCCCCACCCCAAACCCCGCCCCGGCCCCTGCAACCCGATCCCCGCCGCGGGGCTGCGGCCCGAGCCATCTGTCCCAGTTCCTGTCGCAGCCTGGAGGCCCGGCCGCCGTGCTCCGCCCCTCCCCGCCCTCGGCGCCGGGCCTCGTAGCCGCGGGGTATTGCAGGGGTCGCATTCATCCCCGCGTCTCCCAGGCCAACGCAGAAACGGGGGTGGGGTGGGTGACGCCAGGGAAGCAGGCCCTGGCCCCTTTTCCCAAGGGAAGAAGCTTCTCCTGGAGGCCCGCCGGGTCGTGGAGTCCCCGCGGGTGGGCGTAGTGGGGCCGGGGACACCAGGAGCCCTGCGGCTGCCTTCGGTCTGGCTCTAGGCCGGGGTTCCTCGGCTCCGCCAGCGACATTTGGGCCGGATCGCTGTGTAGTGGGGCTGGCCCCAGCACTGTGGGATATCCGGTGGCATCCCTGACCCCCTCCACTGGATCAGGGGCATGGCCAGCCCCCAAGCCGTGGCAACCAAAACTGTTTCTGGACACGGCCAAATGTCCACAGGGTGCAAACTGTCCGGGTGCAGACCCACTCCCCTAGGGTTTCACGGTGGGCATTTGAGGCAGCCACACAGGCTGGGGGCCTGGAACCCGAGGTCCCTGCATCCCAGGATTCTGGTGCTGGTCTCCTGCTCCCCACGGCTGCCAGCTGCTTCAGGCCGGCCTGGGAACTGTGACCCTTGGCCTGACAGTATTTGGGCAGCGTGTTACCTGCCAGGCCCTCTCACTGCAGGGACACCTTCTGCCCCACCCTGATGTGGGTGCTGGGACAGGGGATGGGACAAGGGATGCTGGAGGCAAGCCAGTCACTAGCAGTCAGGCCAGTTGGGGCACCAGAAAGAGACCCAGGCACTGGGTGTCCATGGGCAGCCTGAGGTTTTGGAGGAGAAGCTGGACTGAGGCCACCGTGTGAGTCCAGGGGCTGTCAGGGCTGAAGGTCAGGGGGCATCCTGGACCACAGGGCCCACCCCTTACACACACACACACACACACACACACACGGGGTGGGGTGTGGGAAGGACACAAGATACACACACACGGGGTGGGGCATGGGAAGGACACAAAAGACACACACACATGGGGTGGGGCATGGGAAGGACACAAAAGACATACACACGGGGTGGGGCATGGGAAGGACACAAAAGACATACACACACACACACACACACACACACGGGGGTGGGGCGTGGAAAGGACACAAAAGACACACACGGGGTGGGGCATGGGAAGGACACAAAAGGAGTTGGTCCCAGCTGGGGAGGATCCCTCCCTTTCCCTTCCCCAGGCCCATTTAGGGGCTCATCAGAGCCAGGAGGGTGGTGAGAGGGCTGGGGCAGGGCGATGTTGGCCCCCACCCCCATCTGCATCCCACCCCACAAAGCAAAGCAGAATTTTCAGAATAATCCAATTCCGGACTTCAGGAGGTCGGGGAGCTTTTAGTTGTGCCCTCCCCCTGTATATTCACAATGCCTGGATTTGCATAGGAAATCTGGAAGGAGACAAAGGCACCATAACGGATGTGAAAGTGGACCAGTGGTGGGGGGCAAAGGGGGTTGAGGGTGGGGACCCACTGGTACCAGGCGGATGAGGGACAAGAAGATTTTTTCTGTCTTGTTTTGCTTTTTTCCTCTCTCCTTCCACGAAAACAAATTACATATTTTAAAACATTTATGAAAGAAACATGAATGAAAGAAAAGGGGTCAGGGTAACTGTGGCCCCCGACCAGCAGCTGCAGCACGTTTGATGTCCCCGCCCCAGCCCTCACAGACGCCAGACTGAGCTACCCTCAGCCACACTCCCCTTCCTCATCTCTCCCCCTGAAAAAGGTGGGCCAACTTTTACCCCGCCTAGAGTTTCCAACACATTCACTCCTTGGGAGGGTTTTCGAGGAGGCTGGGGTGGGAAGTGTGTGTCCCATTGCATGTATGTGGCATGGGGCGCCCACCCTCTACCCAGCGTTGCTAAATAATTCTTCAAAGACTGAATTAGATTTACATCCGTGGAGCAGATTGGTGTGCTGTTTCTCTGCGCGTGGCTCATCATTATAAAACATGCCGTGTCCCGGGGGGGCAGACAGCAACAGGCTTGGGAATAGCATTTGGCTCATTAATTCATTGGTTCATCAGGTCTTCATCCATATTTATCAAAGGCTGCTCCGTGCTATCATTCTAATTAACATCAGTTCCCACACTGATCTCTTTCCTAGTACCCAAGTCTGTCTGGCACACAGTTCTTTCACCTCCTCAAATCTGAGGCTTCTATCTCCGCAGCCCACTGCAGCCGGGTGTCCTGGGTCTCTGAGGCAAACCTCTTACTGTGTGTGCCAACTCCTCAGCTACCTGATGGTGTCCACAGATGCTGACCTAC